ACTGCTAATATAGGTCATTGATTGGAACCCACTAACTGCTCCACAAGAGAAAGATGTAGTGGTCTGTTGCAGACTGTGCAGACCCGGTCAGGAGTTCGAGGCCCTGTGGGCCCGAGTGTTGCAGACCATACAGGCCGCAGGCTCTGAGGAACAGACTCTAGCCACCTGGAAGACACAGCAAACTATTTTTCATCTTAGTATTCAGTTATGTTTGTTATTAATTCCATACATGAGCCCTTAATATTCACAGATAGATGTAAAAACCTCCTAAAGCCGAGGCCTAAAAGTTCCACAAGCAAGTTTGCTGGAGACAGGCTGCCCAAGGAATTAACTCAAGGTAGATTGGTGACTTCCCAGTCTTTGTTCTAAGAACAATAGGACTGCCATCTTAAAGTGTTTCCAGGTGCAGGCCATTCAACTAGGTTCCTGCAAACCTGGCTCAGGAAGACAACACAGCGGGACCTTCCCTCTCACCTTCCCCCAACTGAGCTCAGGTGCTATAGATATGTTAACTGAGCCTGAGAAACCAAGTTGCGGGCCTGGGATTCGAACCTGCGAATTACGATGTGAGGGTGTCCGAATGTCTGGAAAATTACATATGTTAGCTGTATCTTGTCTTAGTCCCTCCCAGCTTGGTGTGAAGCTCCTCCCCTAAATAAAACGGAGGCGCAGGCTGACCCAGGTGTGAATTACAGGCATGCATTAAGAGCGTGCATTACAGCGTGGAGGGTGTGCTATATGGCTGGCTAGGCATGCGTTACTGACCAGCTAGTAAGGGGTGTGTACTGCCCGCATAGCTAAGATGTTTACTATGCGGGATCTTATTGCCCTCATGGCTAATATGTTCACCATGCCGGATCTGCCGAACGCCAGTTATGCATCCACTCTGGTTTCGGGGTGTCTCTTTGTCTCTCTTGTTGTGTCTCTGTGTCTTCTCTTGTGCTATCCCTATCACCGCCAGATATCCCCACCTCGTGAACCAAACATCCGTGTCGAGGCCGGTCCCTGACAGTGGTCCTTTTCCCTAAAGATTATAACCTTGGAAACCCTATGGGACAGTTCTACTAAGTTCTATGGAGTCACTATGAGTTATAACTGGTTCAAGGGCAATGGCTTTTATATATGTTTAGAATCATATGTGTCTATAGATGATCATGTATTTACTAATATTTTTCTAAAAAGATACCAATTTTAATGAGGGACATGATGGAGGAAGAAGTGGTATCTAGGACGAGAAAAAAACTTTCTTTGTTTTTGCTTTATAGTTGGAACACAGAATATAAAAACTAAGACTCTAGGAAAATTAGAAGTCATCAAAATTGAAATGGAATGATTAAAGATTGACATCCAAGGCATTATTGAGCTGGAATGGACAGGTATTAACCACATTGAATCACACAATCACATGGGTTACTACATCAGGAAGGACAGATGGAAAAGAAGTGGCATTACATTCACCATCAAAAGAGAATTTCAAGATCTATCTTGAAGTACAATGCTGTTTGTGATGGGATAATATCCATCTGCCAATAAGGAGGAACAATTACCACAACTATCATTCAAATTTATACACCAACCACTAAAGTCAATGATGAAAAAATTGATTAATTCTACCAATATTGCCTTGACTTGAAGGACTCTATGGGAAAAATATTGAATGATGCAAAAAAGCATCCAAAGAAAATGGATAAACCTAATGTCCTACCATGTAAACAATCACATAATTCACAATAAAAAAAATTACAGAAAAGAAAATGGAAAACATACAATGTTGCTGTATCAAAAAGAAATGGTCAATGTACAATCATTTCAAGAAATGGTCAATGTACAATCATTTCATATGATCAAGAACCAATGGTGCTGGAGAAAGAAGTCCAAGCTACACTGAAGGAATTAGTGAAAAACAAGGCTTCAGGAATGGACGGGATACAAATTGAAATCTTTCAACAAACTTGTGCAGTACTGAAGGTGCTCACTCTTCTATGCCAAGAAATTTAGAAGACAGGTGCCTGGCCAATAGATTGTAAGACATCCATATTTGTGCCCATTCCAAAGAGAGAGGACCCACGGAATGAGGAAATCATGGAATAATAACATTAACATAGCATGCAAGTAAAATTTTGCTGAAGACTATTCAAAATGGCTGCAAGAGTACATCAAAAAGTCAGATGTTAGAAACTGTCTGAAACTCAACTGTCAGAAACTCAAGCTGCATTCAGAAGAGGACATGAAACTAGGGCTACCACCGCTGATGTCAGACGGATCTTGGCAGAAAACAAAGACCAGAAAGATGCTTACTTGTATGTTACTGACTACGCATAGGTGTTTGACTATATGGATCATGACAACCTACCGATAACATTGAGAAGAATGGATATTCCAGAACACTTGACTGTGCTCATGGAGAAGCTGTACATAAACCAAGAAGCAGTCATTCGAACAGAATAAGGGGATACTGAATGGTTTAAAATCAGAAAAGGTATGAGCCAGGGCTATATTTTTTTCACTATGCTTATTCAATCTGCATGTTAAGCAAATGATCTGAGAAACTGGATTATCTGGAAAATATATTGGATCAGGATTAGAGGGAAACCCATTAACAATCTGTGATATGCAGATGATACAACCTTGCTTACCGAAAGCAAAGAGGACTTAAAATACTCACTAATGAAGATCAAAGACCACAGCCTTTAGTATGGATCGCACCTCAATGTAAAGAAACCAAAAATCTTCACCACTGGAGCAATAGATAACACCATGACAAATGGAGAAAAGATTGAAGTTGTCAAAGATTTCATTTTGCTTGGATCCACAATCAGTACTAATGGAAGCAGCAGTCAAGAAATCAAATGACATATTGCATTTGGCAAATCTGTTGCAAAAGACCTATTTAAAGTGTTCAGAACCAGAGATATCAGTTTGAGGACAAAAGTGCACCTGATTCAAGTCATGGTATTTTCAATTGCTTCATATGCATGTGAAAGTTGGACAACGAGTAAAGAAGACTGTAGAACTGGTGCATTTGAATTATGATGTTGTAGAAGAATATTGAAAGTACCATGGACTGCCGGGAGAACAAACAGGTCTGTGTTGGGAGAGGTACAGCCAGAATGCTCCTTGGAGGCAAGGAAGGTGAGATTTTGTCTCTCATATTTGTTGTTGTTGTTAGGTGCCATTGAGTCGGTACCGACTCATAGCGACCTTATGCACAGCAGAACAAAACACTGCCTGATCCTGGGCCAACTTCACTACTGTTGCCACTCTTGAGTCCATCGATGCTGCTACTTGGCCAATCCATCTCATTGGGGGTCTTCCTTTTTTTCTCTGACCCTCCACCTTACCAAACATGATATCCTTCTCCAGCATTAGGAGACACCAGTCTCTGCAGAAGGACATTGTTAAGTTGTTAGTGCCATCAAGTTGACTCCAACTTACAGTGACCCTGTATAGAGTTTCCAAAGAGCAGCTGGTGAGTTTGAACTATCGACCTTGCAGTTCAAATCAGCCTTGCACCTATCCTACAGCACCACACCAGAACTCCAGGAGAAGAACATTATGCTTGGTAAAATGGAGGGTCAGTGAAAAAGATGAAGGATCCCAAGGAGATGAATTTATGCCATGGCAGCAGCAATGGAATAAAGCTAACAACAATTGTGAGGGTAGTACAGGAGCAGACGTGGTTTCGTTCTGTTGTTCATAGGGTGGCTATGAATCAGAACATTGTCAAATATAGTGCCAGAAAATGAGCCCCTCAGGCTGGAATGCATTCAGAATATGACTAAGAGGAACTGCCAAGTCAAAGTAGCATTGACTATGTTGATGTGAATGGAGTAAAGTTTTCAGAACCTTCAGTTGTTCATTGGGAAAAGGGGAAACCATGATCAGCATTTCTCAAACTGAAAGAATTGAAGAAATTTTTCAACTTTGGATTTGTAATGTTGAAACATTCAAGATATCAGAAGATGCAGAAAGTATCAAAAGAAGTTTGAAAGACTACAATAATTGTATCCCGAAAATTGGTCAAACTTCAACCATTTCAAGACATAGCATATGATCAAGAACACAAAT